TGGCACAACAGGCAGCTCTCTTTTAACACAGACTTTTAAGAAGGGATGGATGTTTGCTTCAAGTGATAGGCCAGGTACGTTAAGTGAAATTATATTATCTTGCTGTATGTATGTCGTTTTCTGACTAAAAGCAACCAAAAAGCCATTTTAAAGTGGTTAAGTAAATAATATAATAATAATAATAATCGGCAGGGATCCCAGACCAATACAATTAGTGTGCCTCCTCTATTTTAAAACCCACGAACCGCCACTGGTCTGTACAACACAATCAGGCGTGTTTAAACTTACACGTCGCTCTTAACGGGGGTTGTGGGAACCACCCAAACCATCGTCTTCCTCTACGGGATGCCTCAGGACTGAGCGTGCAAACCACTGAACAAAAAAAACATCGACATCACAGAACGGTGACCGACACGTAGAGAAAGGAAACACTTCAGTTTGGCTGGATACGACTGCGTTACATGTAGACTACACGGAAGCTTTTTTTCCCCTCAGAGATGACTGACAAGAAAAAGAAAAGAAAAAGGTAAAGTGAAACATCTGCATAGTGTGATTGTGTGTGTGCCGTTGTAAATGTGTGTGTGTGTATATGTCCTTTAAATGTGTGTGTAGGATCCCGTTGACTCGAGGCCAGGTGACAGGAGGTGTGTGGAGACAGATGACACTTTCGACTATTTGTACGGACGCAGGAAGGCGGAGACTTTGCTGTGGATGAGGCGTATGAAGGAACGCGGGAGCATCTCTGTGGAGTCCCGAGTTGAGTACTTGTAGTAATTGTTTGGGTGAGCCAGCACGTCGAACAGAGTTTTAATCAGTTTTTTATCCTGGCGAGAAACAAAAAGGAGTGAAATGGAATGAGACCTGGAATAAACTGTCATCATGCATGGTCATTGCATGGAAACAAGCAGTTTAAACAATCTTTCTATTACTTGAAATACAGTTTAAGCAAAAATCACACTTGGAGCAAATTACGGGTTTTCGATAAAGAGATGTAGTAAATGAGACTTGTGTCTTGGAAAACACATAAAAAGTATCTTAACACATTCATTGCTGTTATTGCAAAGTTAGACTTCATTACCCTGCAAATAAAAAAATATTTTTCTTGTTTTCCAGTATAAATATCTAAACATTCTTAACTGGAGATACTTTAAATTGAAAAGCGAAAAACTAAATTAATTAAAAAAAAAAAAAAAAAGTATCTAAATTAAGTGAGCTTAAACATGAAATACATCTGCAAGTGGAGACAGAAAAGTAAACTTGTTTCAAGGGGAAAACTTATTTTTCTTACCCATTGGCAGATACTTTTTCTTGTTTTCAACAAAAATTTGCTTTTGATACATTTTTCAGAACACAAGACTTACATCTTAAAGGCACAATATGTAATTTTCGCCGCTAGAGAGCACGTATTCAAAATAAACAAAGAGACAAAGGCGTAGTTTGATGATGCCGTGACTGAGGGTGGAATCATGTGGTCTTCATCCCCACAGACAGGTCGTCTATTAAAACCACAACATATTAAAGCGTCTTTGGTGTTTTCTACAAAACAAAACCTGAAATCAAGGGGTTATGACGTCATTGGCAGGCGACACTATGGACACGGCCCGTGTCACTAGTTAAAAATAGCTTTTTTTCTCTGGATTTAAACATTCTTCGAAACATTTGGGATAATGCAAATACACAAGTCAGCAAAATATATAACACTGTTCTAGTGGTTTTTGGATATTTGAATAAAAAAAAAATCTTACATTGTGCCTTTAAGTCATTTTACTTCAAGTTAATGTATCTTAAGAATGTTTAGATATTTGTATTGGAAAACAAAAAAAAAGTCAATGCAAAACTGACCTTAAGTATTTCTTGATGGTTTTCAGAGGCGTAAAGTCTTCCATCTCTTACAATGTCTTCAACCAGTTGCTCATAGTCTTCTAAATACAAGAAAATCAAAACATTTAAGTGACGATGAAAGTCAAGAATGAATTGAAACTCATCACAAATCTTTCTCCTGAGAATTTTTAGCATTATTTTTATATACATATATATACACAGTGGGTACGGAAAGTATTCAGACCCCGACTGTACCATCGTAAGTGACGTATGGAATCTGGAATCCACGAGCGCTGTTTACATCGTTGGATTTGAAGTTGATCCAGAGGCGGCGCGATCGGGCTGTAAATGCAATCGGTCTCTCATACGTCTGACATGTTTCATAAGTGGTGATAGAGGTTGCTGACCCTAAGAAAAGAAAAGGTCAGCATTCAAATCAAAGCTAACCTATTTTTAGAAGCAAACTATCACCACTAACATGGAGAGACTGCAAACACCCTGGAAAGTCAATATTTTATTACACTAATATCAAACCTAGACTGCTGTCCAAAAGTTTGGGTTTTTAGTGTTTTTTTAAAGATGTTTCTTATGCTCATCAAGGCTGTACATATTTGATCAAAATCATATGAAATATTACAAATTAAAATAACGGTTTAATATTATAATTTATTCCTGATGCAAAGCAGAATTGTCATCATTACTCCAGTCTTCAGTGTCACATGATTCTTCAGAAATCATTAGGCTTTTTTCGCAAAGATCAGCTGCCGCCTGACAAAAGCAATGCATTCTGGTTAAAATTTTTCCGACTTTGGCGCTGCAGCAGCCTTGCGATCACATGTGTCATCAAAGTACCACGAGAGCAAAACGAGACCAGCCGCCCAGGTCAGGCGCTGCAGTTGCTCAAAATCGGCTGCGAAAGCCTTGATGACGACACACTTTATTCTCATTGGTCAGATTCTGTGATGACAAGCACGACATGTTGCGTGCTTATTCTAACAATTCAATTCCAATAATGCTCACAAATCAGTGTAGTCGCACTGTTATATTGAGTCACGTTTATCAAAAAGCACATATACCCACACTTTATAGGCATTTAAATAGTATATGAAGAGTTTGGTTCCAAAACGTTATAAATCTATTTTGATTAATTTGAGTAAAAATGTGTTTTCTTTACCAAGAAAGTGGCAAGATGAAAACCACTATTTTCTGTTTCAGACTTTCACATAGCATCTTTAGGTTATAATAACATTAAAAATTCAAATCCAGATTTAGATTTTCAAAGATTTATTATAAAATTGTATTATTTTTTCCCAAAATGCAATACATCCATGACACTTTTTTTTTTTTTCCGAAATGCAATAAATCCATTGAATCAATATAAAAGTTATTTTTCATATTGAAACTGTTGAAAATACACAAATAGTAAGTTGATCCACATATGATGAAATACACAACATAGTAAGTTGATCCACATATGACAGCCTCTGAACTTGGTCAATACTAATCTTTGCAGGCACTGGACTAAAAATACATTCACAATCAGTCAACGCTCCCAAAATGAAAACAACGGGTCACCTTGTTAATGCTATAAATTAATTACAACAATAAAAGAAAATTTCATAATGAGCATACATGAACAACAATATCACATTAAACCACAGAAATTCCAAAATGACATTTCCCTTACATTCAACTTCCAAAAGTAAAACATGACAGAATAACTCGGCGGATATCGCATTTTGCGTAAAATTAAAAATTGACTTTTCAATACCGACCAGATACAATACTGATTTTGGCGGAAACTCAATTAAAAAAAAAATGGTTTTGGCGTTTTGGAACCAAACTCTTCATATGTTTATGTTGAAATGTATTAATGAACAGATGGTGCTATATTAAGCAGTATATAAAAAGTGCTTGTGTTGCTCATGAAAACGTTTCTGAAATGTCTGTGTATTTGACAAATATTGCATATATTTCACTTCCTCTGTGATAGAGTATGCAAACACCGTGAGAGCGTGGAGCAGAAAGTGTCCCAACTTGACGCCTCTGCTTTTAATTTCGCCCCAACTGCAAGCGGCTACTCTCTCCAGCCGGTGGCAGGCTAGTGTAGTTCATCTCGAACAAGCCTATTCTGATTTATTAGCAATATGCTGATTTATTATTAATGTTGGAAACTGTTGTGCTGCTCAATATTTTTTGGAACCTGTGATACTTTTTTCAGGATTCTTTGATGAATAAAAAGTTAAAAAGAACAGCAATTTATTCAAATTCACAGGTTTCAAAAAAATATTAAGCAGCAAAAACGGTTTCCAACATTGATAATAAATCAGCATATTAGAATGATATCTGAAGGATCATGCGACACTGAAGACTGGCGTAATGATGCTGAAATTTCAGCTTTGTCGTCACAGGAATAAATTACATTTAAAATATATTAAAATAGAATACGGTTTCATTTAAATTTCTGATCTGAACGGTAGGGTACTTTAATGCTAGCTTGCTATTTTAAGCATGTTGTACTGAAAGTGTGAAAAGTGTGAAATCAGTTGATTTGAAGGTTAAGCCTAGCAGAGAACAAAAACGTACCGTTCTTCCTCATTACTAGGACATCTCCACACTCATCCTCAGATGGGAGGAAGATCTCCGGAACCACGATCAGAATCTTGCGTTTGTGTGGAGGGTTGATCGTCCAGATACACTCTACATTGGCTGGGTAGTTTCCTGGATAGTTGGGGGACTCGATGTACCCGATGAACTCGCCTATTTCACCCCCACATTCCCGATCTGAACACACCACAAACAAACAAGATAACATTATGGTAAAATGGAACATTTCTAGACCTGGATAACTTTTTATTCCTTAAATGCTTTTTATTCCCAGTGCCAAAATACAGGTTTATTCTTTATAAAACGCATCAGTTCACTCAAAATGCAATTTGCTGATCTGATATTGCTTTTATTTCCAGATTTCAAATTAGCCTGATTAATCGACTGATTAGAAGTTGCGCTTAAGAACGAATGGACTCACTCTTGCATTGAGACACACTGATGGCCCCGTCGAAGTCTGTGGTGGTGTTTCCAGGACAGGAAATGCAGTAGTTCTGTCTGAACTCAGCCTGGTAGGTTCCATGAGGACAGCGGATGCAACGATGAACTGAGGTGTTATAATAGTGACCTGGAGAACACAACACTACACACACAAACACCAATATCACATGGGCTGATTTAGCATGAAGCTTCCTTCGCACACAAGAGTCTGAGGCCCAGATTTACTGAACAGGACAAATTAATGCGAGATAGCAATTCTATTAAAGTGCGATGAAAGTGGAAAGAACTGCAGTTGATCAACGCGCAAATTAAAGAATACAGACGCAGCTGGATCATTTCCGTAATTATCAAAGCAATCTACAAAAAGCAGCACAAATTAGCTTAGGGTCGCAAACAAGCAGAGTTGATGGTAATCAGGTGCAAGTAATCTACTAAACACAGGCACAAAATGGGTTAAGACATGCTTTATTTGGTCGTTAAATAATGGCACAAATATCAGTAATGCCGAGTTCACACTGCACGATTTTAGCCCGATTTTTCACTCGCCGACAGGTTTTGTGAAATCGCCGACAAATGCCCGAAATCGGAGGCAAATCAGTGCTCGTTCACGCGAGTGACAATCACGCAGTGTGAATTATCAAAGACGCTATCTAAGGGAATCGCAGACGCCCATGAAATATTTGGCATGCTAAATATCTGGAGCTGTCGGCGATTCACAATCACGTTGTGTGAAATGAGTTCTGACTGAAAAACACTTCGGCGATGACCTACAGCCAATGAGATAGCATTAGCAATTGGCCTATATTAGGAATTAGCAGATACCTATAGCAATTGGGCTATTTTCAGGCTAGTTTTGAGTAGTAATTGGGTGGGTTTTGTAGCGAAAACCTGGCAACCCTGCACCAGACAGAGCTGTCGGCGATTCTTCCTATTGTAAAGTCATGCAGATGTATTAATGAACAGATGGTGCTATATTAAGCAGTATATAAAAAGTGCTTGTGTTGCTCATGAAAACGTTTCTGAAATGTCTGTGTATTTGACAAATATTGCATATATTTCACTTCCTCTGTGATAGAGTATGCAAACACCGTGAGAGCGTGGAGCAGAAAGTGTCCCAACTTGACGCCTCTGCTTTTAATTTCGCCCCAACTGCAAGCGGCTACTCTCTCCAGCCGGTGGCAGGCTAGTGTAGTTCATCTCGAACAAGCCTATTCTGATTTATTAGCAATATGCTGATTTATTATTAATGTTGGAAACTGTTGTGCTGCTCAATATTTTTTGGAACCTGTGATACTTTTTTCAGGATTCTTTGATGAATAAAAAGTTAAAAAGAACAGCAATTTATTCAAATTCACAGGTTTCAAAAAAATATTAAGCAGCAAAAACGGTTTCCAACATTGATAATAAATCAGCATATTAGAATGATATCTGAAGGATCATGCGACACTGAAGACTGAAGTAATACTGCTGAAAATTCAGCTTTGCATCACAGGAATAAATTATGTTTGAAAGTATATTAAAACAGTAAACCATTATTTGAAATTGCAATAATATTTTATAATATTACTGTTTTCTTCTGTATTTTTGAAATAAATGCAACTTTGATGAGCATAAGAGACTTCTTTAAAAAGCATTACAAATCTTTCTGATCTCAAACTTTTGAACGGTAGGGTACTTTAATGCTAGCTTGCTATTTTAAGCATGTTGTACTGAAAGTGTGAAATCATTTTTGACAGTTGATTTGAAGGTTAAGCCTAGCAGAGAACAAAAACGTACCGTTCTTCCTCATTACTAGGACATCTCCACACTCATCCTCAGATGGGAGGAAGATCTCCGGAACCACGATCAGAATCTTGCGTTTGTGTGGAGGGTTGATCGTCCAGATACACTCTACATTGGCTGGGTAGTTTCCTGGATAGTTGGGGGACTCGATGTACCCGATGAACTCGCCTATTTCACCCCCACATTCCCGATCTGAACACACCACAAACAAACAAGATAACATTATGGTAAAATGGAACATTTCTAGACCTGGATAACTTTTTATTCCTTAAATGCTTTTTATTCCCAGTGCCAAAATACAGGTTTATTCTTTATAAAACGCATCAGTTCACTCAAAATGCAATTTGCTGATCTGATATTGCTTTTATTTCCAGATTTCAAATTAGCCTGATTAATCGACTGATTAGAAGTTGCGCTTAAGAACGAATGGACTCACTCTTGCATTGAGACACACTGATGGCCCCGTCGAAGTCTGTGGTGGTGTTTCCAGGACAGGAAATGCAGTAGTTCTGTCTGAACTCAGCCTGGTAGGTTCCATGAGGACAGCGGATGCAACGATGAACTGAGGTGTTATAATAGTGACCTGGAGAACACAACACTACACACACAAACACCAATATCACATGGGCTGATTTAGCATGAAGCTTCCTTCGCACACAAGAGTCTGAGGCCCAGATTTACTGAACAGGACAAATTAATGCGAGATAGCAATTCTATTAAAGTGCGATGAAAGTGGAAAGAACTGCAGTTGATCAACGCGCAAATTAAAGAATACAGACGCAGCTGGATCATTTCCGTAATTATCAAAGCAATCTACAAAAAGCAGCACAAATTAGCTTAGGGTCGCAAACAAGCAGAGTTGATGGTAATCAGGTGCAAGTAATCTACTAAACACAGGCACAAAATGGGTTAAGACATGCTTTATTTGGTCGTTAAATAATGGCACAAATATCAGTAATGCCGAGTTCACACTGCACGATTTTAGCCCGATTTTTCACTCGCCGACAGGTTTTGTGAAATCGCCGACAAATGCCCGAAATCGGAGGCAAATCGGTGCTCGTTCACGCGAGTGACAATCACGCAGTGTGAATTATCAAAGACGCTATCTAAGGGAATCGCAGACGCCCATGAAATATTTGGCATGCTAAATATCTGGAGCTGTCGGCGATTCACAATCACGTTGTGTGAAATGAGTTCTGACTGAAAAACACTTCGGCGATGACCTACAGCCAATGAGATAGCATTAGCAATTGGCCTATATTAGGAATTAGCAGATACCTATAGCAATTGGGCTATTTTCAGGCTAGTTTTGAGTAGTAATTGGGTGGGTTTTGTAGCGAAAACCTGGCAACCCTGCACCCTGACTACCACAACCCTTAGTAAATAACCTTGCATGATTCATTTACATTTTTATTACTCTCCTCCCAGAATATTTCTCATTTTTATTTAACTTATATGATATATACATATATATATATACTATATATACATATGATATAGTAAAATAACTAAAATTTAAATAAAAAGTAACAAAATACATACAGATATTTAAGAAAAATGAATAAAATGACAAAACAACAGAATTACTGAAACGTTAACTAAAAAGAAAAGAAAAGATAAAAACTAATTTGAAATATTACTAAAAACCTATAATAGTATCTCAATGATGCCAAACTGGTGTAAACAACATACAAATTGTGCACCATGTTTTGCTCCAAACATTATTTTGTCCCCACTGTCTAGCTTTATGTAAATGCACTGCACTGTAGAGTCTCAAAATGTCTGACCTTTGACCTCACAGTCATTAAAGGAGCTGGCGCCCTCTCTTTTGGTACCGAGCCCACCTCCACAGGGGAAACAGAGTGTTCGTCCTGGGTCGGGCTGGTACGTTCCCACGGGGCACGGTTGACAGGGCTTGAACCCGTCGCTGGAGAAATAACCAGGCGGACATTGACCTATAAACAGACAACAAATGACCAAGAATGGTTAAAAGTGTACTCTTAAGAGAAAAATGAAGAAGTGCCTAGTGCAGCAAACATTTACATCTATTACAAGTAGAAGGCACACTGATTAAGTCTAGTTACCTGCACATGACGTGATGTTGCGGGCCCCTACTGGGCCATGGCGGTCTCCTCCGGGACAAAGGTCACAGGCCAGCTGACCTTCACGTTCCTGGAATGTTCCAGGTGGGCACTGGGCGCAGCGTTCCTGCTCACCATGGTAGTATGACCCAGGCAAACATCTGACTAAGAGAGAGCAGCCAGCAGGGGGCAGCAGTGAGGAAGCTGAAATTCTGAGCTCTGTTTCTTTTTTGTTTGTTTTTTGACAGATGCAACTTTGAAATTCGACTCTAAAGACCTTGTGGTTTTAAGCGATGAATGTAAAATGCTATAATTCGTAACCCAAGACTTGAAAAATTGTGAACTTTGCTTTAGTTGGTTTTGTTTCCATTGCATTTGTTGTCAGTACTCCCAATTCCTTCTTATAAATGTTTGCAAGCAATCTCAGATAACTATCGTCAAAGAATAGCAATGGCATGCAATGTCTGTTCATTTAACACATTTTGCATCACTTCTGCATAAAAAACCAGACAAGCTGAGGCGATCAGAGTCCAAGCCAAATCTCTTTCAGCAACATTTTTCTATATGCTGCAGGTTCGTTTTATGAACCTTATTGCAGGACAATTTATTTCATATTTCACATATTTTATTTATATAAAATATCATTTCTAGGTATTTCTTGGGAAAAACTGCTATGGAATATAAAAGCAAACAACAACACATTTTCACAGAAAAAAGGGGTGAACTGTATCAGCGTCATAATAATCTCAAAAAAGTAGACCTAAAACTTTTATTCATGAGTCGCTAATTTAGAGTCTCAGCTAAATAGCCTACAAGTCAACTGTTTTGTGACAGTGCAAGTCCCAGACCATCTCTAGTAGATGCTCTCGTTCGTTCTTAACAGTTGGCACTTTGTTTAAAGATAGCTCTCTTGCATCAAGTTGCAGTGGAGAAGGGGGTTAATATAAAACAAACCCCACTCACTCTTCCGTTCTTACCACAGCGGCCGCTGTCTTTTTCTCGGCCCGGTCCACAGTTCTCCTGCCTCATTCCAGCTTGTGGGATCTTCTGTGCCACCTCGTACTCCAATCCAGCCACACGGATGAGGAAACGCTCCTGGTTAATGGATTTTTTCAGGGCTTTAATGTATGACTTCATCTGCTGCTCCATGCGCTGCCTTTGACACATCATGTTACAGTTCCCTACAGGAGAACAAGATGAACGTCATGACCTTCCACGCTCATCCTGCATTTTCTGTAGGTAGGTAGAGGGTTTGTTTTAGGTGGAGGATGTCAGACTCACCAGTGGCGTCTCCTGGCTTGACCTCAGCCTCCAGCTCCAGAGTGATGCGCGTGACCTCTTTGCTTGATGGGTTACGTGCCCGACGACCTTTGGCCTTCTTAGACGAGTCGCACTTCAGGTTAACGAACGTGACCAGGCAGTTGTTGCACGGTTGGCCACCTGGAAATCAAGTTATTATTCACACAAAGAGGGTTTCACATTTTTTGGAAAGACACTATTAGATTGTCAACTTACTAACTCTTATAAATATATAGCATGAAATTTGCAATAATGGGGATTTAAAGGCATCCAAAAATGAAAATAGTCATTATTTACTCATCTTCAATTTAGGCCTTTTTTTTTTTTTTACATATAAACAGGCGCACACAGAGCAAATCACATATTGTGAACGAGATGCACATATGCTTCTGTGTTTACCATAGGTGTATGCTTGTGTGTAGATCATTGTTTAGATCAGGGGTGGTGAACTCCGGTCCTGGAGGGTTCAGCTCCAACCCTAAAAAACTATCCTGCCTGTAGCTTCCTAGTAACCCTTCAGACCTTGATTAGCTTGTTCAGGTGTGTTTGATTAGGGTTGAAGCAAAACGATTGCCTTGACCAAATACCCACACTTGCGGTCTTTGCACTTGACCACTTATACGACGTATTTCCTGTATTTGGCCCAAGTGTTCAAGTGAGGATGAAGAAGTTTGTGTGTGTCGAACTTTTCATTACCTGATGGGACACACTTATAGTGTAAAAATGCAAGTGTTTACATAGCTTTATTTTAATTTTAATTTTAAATACTTTGCACTTTAAAATCAACTTCTAAATGTCTGTTCAGTAGTCCCTATAACATGACATTTTTAATTTGTGTTGCTTCTAATTAAGTGATAAAAAGCAGTTGCAAATGTTGTACAAAATAAATATCACCACTACTCATCTTTGCACCAATAAAATGTAAAAACACTGTTTTTCTACCAAATTATATGTAATATCTAATTATTATATTAATATTTAACTTGCATTGGAAAGGTTTCCGTGACCTCTCGCGAGATCTCGGCAAAAAGTCTCATGATTTATTCCAAAACATGATGCATGATGGGATACACTAAGCCTCGAATAGCGCTCCGGAGCGGTATTCAAGATAGTGTGGATTTAGTGTGCGTTAAGGGTACTGCACTTTGGCGTTTTGAAGACCTGGGACAGTCTTGCGCACTTACTTCCTGTCGCGTGCACGCGCTCTCAAGTGGCCAAGACTGCAAGTGTGGGTATTTGGACAAGGGGTCTGAAGGGACCGACGTTCGCCACCCCTGGTTTAGATCGTCATATAAAGTGCTCGTACAAAGACTTGGATTATGTGGATTCGTTTTACCATGCCTTCACAACCTTAAAATGCCCCTATTATGCCATTTCTAATATTGCCTTTCAGACAGTGTGTAATGTAGCTGTATGTGAATGTAAACAATCTGCAAAAGTGCACTATAAATAAAGTTATTGTCTCCCAAAATAAAGAATTGGCTCTATAAGTATGATAAATAATAGATGTTTATATTTTCTATCGAGCGTTAAAAATATGGAACTATGGCAATGGGAGTATCATTTCTGACACATGCTGTAGTGTTGGGTCGTTCTTGAACGATTCGTTCATTTTGAACGAATCTTTAATGTGACTCGGGAAGAACGAGTCGTCTCGGGGAGTGATTCGTTTAGTTGCGCATGCGCAACATCCTATAGGTTCTGTACTGGAATTAGTCAAGTAGTTCACCTGTTTCGAGTCTTTGGGTTTTTCGAGTCATTCGTTCATCATGTGACAGCCCCATAAGTTTAACCAATGCAGTCTGAGCCGGAAAGAGACTTATTAATAATAACCAACTCTTTATTTCCTTTGTTACAACATTCAGTGTTATGGAAAAGAACCATAATGACAGAAATTCACACATTTATAAACTGTAAGAAGTAAAAAGCTACAATTTGAGACCAGAAACGCATCACGTAACTGTAAGAGTAAATAATAATTATAATAATGATGATGATGATAATAATAATAATAACTATGCACCCGTTTGTAAGGAAGCTTGTAAATTAACTAATTTCTCTATCCAATGCTGTCACGTCACGTGACAAAAGAACGAACGATTCGAAAGACTCGAGAGATGAACTAATCAATTCTCTTTCCGGCTCATAGACTGCATTGGTTAAAGCATATGGGGCTGTCACGTGATGAACGAACGACTCAAACCCGAAGACTTGTCAGATAAGAGGTGAAGTGAGCTAATCATAGACTGAAGACCCAGGTAAACAATGAATTAATATTTTCTGTTTCTTATAGCAGTTTTGTATTGTTTGTAGTGTGATCAACGTTTGCGTAAGTAGTAGATGTGTTAGGGAAGTAACACGCAACATTTTAATTATATTTTGCTAAAATGAACGAAATGACTCGAAAAAAGATTCATTCATTTTGCTGAACGAGACTCAAAGGTCCGAGTCGGTAAAATGATCCAAACTTCCCATCACTAACATGCTGTACGCGATAGACCAATCACAACAGACTGGGCCATCCAACCAATCAGAGCAGAGTAGGCTCAGGGAAAGGAGAGGTTTAGAGCAGGGCTGCAAGAACTAATCAATAAAATCGATAATGAAAATTATCGACAATGAATGTCATTATTGATTAGTTGCGTCTACCCACCATGCACGGAAAACTTATGCCAGTCGCATCAAATTATACCACTGAATAACGCATTGTATGGACGAAATTAATTTAATAGTGGAAGAAACAGAGGGAGTTGCTTCAGGATAGGTGCGTGATGCAAGCTGCCCAAAACATGCGAATGCTTTATTTTAAAATTCAAACTAATGCAGTAGCGTAATGTTTAACATTGCTCATCCTGTCAGGCGCTTTGACAGATGCATGTATTTAATGTGTGATATGATTCCTCAGTGCAAAACTTTCAGTTTACGGTTATATCATTATCTGTAAATGTTACATATTCATGCAAGTGTTTTTATTTTGCATTAAGGCTCATCCCGACAGTCTGCGTTAATCTTCAGAATTTACTGAACGAGCGGCGGCGCTTCAAACAGACTGAATGCAGTAGAGAGGGAGAAAATTAATATGCAGCGCAAAAATATTAATTTTGCTGAAATATCTGTTATTGGATTTTACATTTAGGTTTAAAAGTCAACATGTAATTCAATAATTTTATTATAGTAACTGTAAAGGGATAACAGCATGTAATTGAATATATATTTAAGACGTTCCTTACATTTACAGAATAAAGAAATTACAGTAACAGGTTAATGTATTCAGAGTGAATTTGTGTGTTGACGCAGAACATTCCTCTCATCTGTTAACACTGAGTTTGTGCTTTTCTTTATTATCTTCATTGTCATCTCTATTTTTAGTGTAGGGATTTAAACTGTCCTTTGTCCATTTGTCTATTTAAACTCTCCATTTAAACTGTGCTTTATAACTATTTTTGCACATAATGTACTGAATAGCATAGATATAGATATATTCACCATACAGTATGTTTATAGCATTTAGTTGGCACATCTGTTTGAAGGATAGCATTAGGCAGCACGTGGAATAGTGTATTTTGTCAATAAAAAAAAGACAGGCTTTTTATCCGATTAATCGAAAAATATAATCGGCCAACTAATCGATTATCAAAATAATCGCTAGTTGCAGCCCTAGTTTAGAGAGACTGAATATTAGAACCGCTTCAAAACCTCAAAGGTTTCATTAAAAATGTTAGGAATATTTTGAATGTTAACCAAAGTCTTATGGGTTTGGGATGAAGTAAGTGTGAGTAAATGATAACAGAATTTTCATTTTTGGGTAAACTATCCCTTATCCCAATTATTGCTGTCTAAGTAGCAAAACGAGAATGCAGCTCCCTCAGCAAACAGTCCTATGACCTTATTCCACAACAGGGACCATCAAAATGACATGGTACCCTTCATTTCCTGGCCCCTATGACCTCTGACCTGGCCCGATCTGTCTGCCGTTGTCCTCTGCCCTCCCCTTATGTTTCGGGTGCAGGTGGCATTTGGCATTCTTGATCCGGAAGGACACCGTCTGCTTCACTGGAGGAGCCTGAGTCTCTACAACCAAACAAAGAGGCCTTGACATGCAGCTCAACATGATTCATATAAAGTCATTGCTGACAACTACTAGCTAACTACATTAATTCACAGCTGCTGGCTTGCTACATGCAACGCGCTTGATTGAGAAAACAAAACCAGCTGGGCTGTTTGTGAACATTTAAAGCAGATTCATGTTAGCTTTATGCTCACTCTGAACACTTATGAGGAACAGCAATTTGAGATTATAGTGTGCCGTGACAGGCATCCTAATGTGAAACAAGTTTGACATCAAAAGAAATATCAGGCATGGTAAATAAGTTTCTAATTTGCCAAGTGCATCAAGTGATCATGTAATTGGACAGCTGCGATGTATCTGTCATTATGTTTCTCTGAATCATTGACTGCAGCTGTTCAAAAGAAACGTCTCATCGCTTTCCAGGTTCTGTTTGCCGGCACTTTCAACAAATAGGGTACAAAATAGGACCTAAATGTCTTAGAAAATTTAGTTTTTTTCAACAAATGATCAGTGAAATTGAGGGGCTTAGCATTAAGAAAATGTTTATCGTTAACCACAGAATATCAAATTAAAATATAGCTGCAAGCAGCGATGGCGGGCCCAAGCCATCAGCGCAAACGCCACCCCGGGGGCATCTGGAGAATGGTTCACAGAGGGCACATGCATTTACAGTAACCCTCTGGCAGGCTGGTTTTAAGAGATACAGAAATAAATGGGTTAATCCAAACCATTAAGACTGTGAAACACACACACACAACAATATATAGAACTTTGGTAATACTTTACAATAAGGTTTCAGTTATTAACATTAACTATATAAATTAACATGAACAATAATTATATAGCATTTATTAATGTTAGTTAATATTAAGTTCAAAACTAAAACATTATTAATTTAAAGCTTTATCTGTTAACATTAGTTAATGCAATGTGAATTAATACGAACATTTTGATTAACTAACATCAACAACCATTAATAAATGCTGCAAAAATATATTGTGCATTGATGGTTCTTGTCAGTTAATGCATTTACTAATGTTAACAAATGAGACATTATTGTAAAGTGTTACCAAACCTTTATTTATAAGCATTTTTTAACGATTTTATTGATCTATAAGCATTTGTGAAATATTTTTGCCTGTATATTTTTGCCTTAGTCTTCATCTGTGCGCTGAACTGTTTGACAGTTTTTCATTTTCTGTCACTCCCCTGAGCATTTTAAATATATGAAACTACGCATGTTTCCAACGAATGACTTGTTCTCCAAATGTAAAAAGTTTTGAAGAGTTTGGATAATGCACTTTAAACATATCAGAAAATTCAGATGAATGTCATGTCACAGGATGTCATAGGTCAGAATCAAATGAGTGTCAAATTATTTTTTGCAGCACAAAAATGTATAAATCCACGCGTTTGTAACTTAATTGTATAAAATTATATTGTCAGTGCCCTACAAATTAACTGGTTCTAGGACTTTTTTCCCCCTAAAACTGACAGAAAAGGATAAGGCCTAAGAGATTTCTCAAGCTGTAATGGAAAAAAAATAAAATAAAATAACTGATTAATTTTTTCTGTTGAATAAAGAGATGTTTAAAAGTCTTTCTCTCTCTCTCCCACACACACCCCCACCCCCACACTCAACACACACACACAGAGGTAGAGTGAGATCAGATGATTTTTACATTATTCTGATGAAGTTTGAAGCAAATCGAGTAAAAATAAGATGCTGAATTCAAAGCATTTTGAAAAAGACACACTTCCTGATGCATAACTTTGACTCATAATAGTCACATCTATGAGATCTGCATCATACAACGAACAAACCACTAAAGTTTGATCAAAATCAGACAATGTATGTGGAAGTTATTAGACGCTTCCTGTTTCTCATTTCTCGCCATAAAATCATCGCCTCGCCACGGCCAAACCATTCGAGATATCAAAAATCCCTTCGCAATTTAGCATCCCCAATGTCTTGAGATCATGTTCACCGAGTTTGGTGGCAATCGGGTAAAAAACCTATGACGAGTATATTAAATTCCACAGCATGAGCTTTTTACACAGCCCTGAATAGCCAACTTCCTGTTGGGCGGAGCCTATAACATGCAGTGCGAAAGTTGTTCGGCTCAATGAGTCCTATATGTGTACCGAGTTTCATATGAATATGTGCAAGTATGTGTGACATATACATAAAGTTTTCTGACTGTGTTCCAGGGGGCGCCGTAGAGTCCCTGTGCCACGCAAGAGTTTTTGAGCACGTTAAGGCCCCCAAAAAACCCTGGATAGACGAAAAAAAAAAAAAAAGTAAATAATAAAAAAATAATAATCCTTAGGGGATCAATAGGGCCCTGCACCTTAGTGGCTTGGGCCCTAATAATATATGATCTGTTTGATTTTCTATTAGTTTATATGTGGAATCCTTCATACTAAAACTTTGATAAATACATTATGATAAATAATAAACACTATGCTAAAATGGGTAACATGTTTGCTAGTTTATGTCCAAATGTTGGTTTATAGTTAATATGCTTAATGGGTTCTGTAACATATCTCACAACAAAAATGAGATTACCTCTAATGCGATTACCTGTATGGGAACCTATAATGGTAAAATACAAAATACAAATTAGCCATCAAAGTCTACCCTATTTGTGGAAAGTGCACACCATTAGTCGCCAAGATTCAAGTCAAGTCTTGACTGACCTACTCCTCAGTGATGACTTGAATACCCTTTTTGTGAAAAAAAAAAACATTACTTGTCAAGATTCAACTGCTTTCAAATTCTACATGTTGGGATGTATGTATGATCTTACCTATGCAGCTCTGGATGCTGCTTGCATTTAATCTGCTCTGAGATTTACCTCGTAGAATGGGTATTCCACAGCTGACAGAATAGCTGTTGTCTGATTCTGTGAAACGTAAAATGGAAATTGATCACCAGCATTAGAGTTGACTGCACAAGCTTGTTAAATGAAGTAATTTGGGGGGTATTGGTTCGTACCTGATAGGTAATGTGCTTTGGATGCACACGTGAGAGAGCAGCTCTCTTTTTTCCCCATCTTACTGCAAGTAAGGGTGGCTTTGGGGGCCACCAGACTGGATGTACATATAGCATTTATTAATGTTAGTTAATATTAAGTTCAAAACTAAAACATTATTAATTTAAAGCTTTATCTGTTAACATTAGTTAATGCAATGTGAATTAATACGAACATTTTGATTAACTAACATCAACAACCATTAATAAATGCTGCAAAAATATATTGTGCATTGATGGTTCTTGTCAGTTAATGCATTTACTAATGTTAACAAATGAGACATTATTGTAAAGTGTTACCAAACCTTTATTTATAAGCATTTTTTAACGATTTTATTGATCTATAAGCATTTGTGAAATATTTTTGCCTGCATTACAGCTTAGTCTTCATCTGTGAGCTGAACTGTTTTACTGTTACATCCATGAGATTATGTAAATTCAGTTAAGTTCAAAACTAAAACATTATTAATTTAAAGCTTTATCTGTTAACATTAGTTAATGCAATGTGAATTAATACGAACATTTTGATTAACTAACATCAACAACCATTAATAAATGCTGCAAAAATATATTGTGCATTGATGGTTCTTGTCAGTTAATGCATTTACTAATGTTAACAAATGAGACATTATTGTAAAGTGTTACCAAACCTTTATTTATAAGCATTTTTTAACGATTTTATTGATCTATAAGCATTTGTGAAATATTTTTGCCTGTATATTTTTGCCTTAGTCTTCATCTGTGCGCTGAACTGTTTGACAGTTTTTCATTTTCTGTCACTCCCCTGAGCATTTTAAATATATGAAACTACGCATGTTTCCAACGAATGACTTGTTCTCCAAATGTAAAAAGTTTTGAAGAGTTTGGATAATGCACTTTAAACATATCAGAAAATTCAGATGAATGTCATGTCACAGGATGTCATAGGTCAGAATCAAATGAGTGTCAAATTATTTTTTGCAGCACAAAAATGTATAAATCCACGCGTTTGTAACTTAATTGTATAAAATTATATTGTCAGTGCCCTACAAATTAACTGGTTCTAGGACTTTTTTCCCCCTAAAACTGACAGAAAAGGATAAGGCCTAAGAGATTTCTCAAGCTGTAATGGAAAAAAAAATAAATAAAATAACTGATTAATTTTTTCTGTTGAATAAAGAGATGTTTAAAAGTCTTTCTCTCTCTCTCCCACACACACCCCCACCCCCACACTCAACACACACACACAGAGGTAGAGTGAGATCAGATGATTTTTACATTATTCTGATGAAGTTTGAAGCAAATCGAGTAAAAATAAGATGCTGAATTCAAAGCATTTTGAAAAAGACACACTTCCTGATGCATAACTTTGACTCATAATAGTCACATCTATGAGATCTGCATCATACAACGAACAAACCACTAAAGTTTGATCAAAATCAGACAATGTATGTGGAAGTTATTAGACGCTTCCTGTTTCTCATTTCTCGCCATAAAATCATCGCCTCGCCACGGCCAAACCATTCGAGATATCAAAAATCCCTTCGCAATTTAGCATCCCCAATGTCTTGAGATCATGTTCACCGAGTTTGGTGGCAATCGGGTAAAAAACCTATGACGAGTATATTAAATTCCACAGCATGAGCTTTTTACACAGCCCTGAATAGCCAACTTCCTGTTGGGCGGAGCCTATAACATGCAGTGCGAAAGTTGTTCGGCTCAATGAGTCCTATATGTGTACCGAGTTTCATATGAATATGTGCAAGTATGTGTGACATATACATAAAGTTTTCTGACTGTGTTCCAGGGGGCGCCGTAGAGTCCCTGTGCCACGCAAGAGTTTTTGAGCACGTTAAGGCCCCCAAAAAACCCTGGATAGACGAAAAAAAAAAAAAAAGTAAATAATAAAAAAATAATAATCCTTAGGGGATCAATAGGGCCCTGCACCTTAGTGGCTTGGGCCCTAATAATATATGATCTGTTTGATTTTCTATTAGTTTATATGTGGAATCCTTCATACTAAAACTTTGATAAATACATTATGATAAATAATAAACACTATGCTAAAATGGGTAACATGTTTGCTAGTTTATGTCCAAATGTTGGTTTATAGTTAATATGCTTAATGGGTTCTGTAACATATCTCACAACAAAAATGAGATTACCTCTAATGCGATTACCTGTATGGGAACCTATAATGGTAAAATACAAAATACAAATTAGCCATCAAAGTCTACCCTATTTGTGGAAAGTGCACACCATTAGTCGCCAAGATTCAAGTCAAGTCTTGACTGACCTACTCCTCAGTGATGACTTGAATACCCTTTTTGTGAAAAAAAAAAACATTACTTGTCAAGATTCAACTGCTTTCAAATTCTACATGTTGGGATGTATGTATGATCTTACCTATGCAGCTCTGGATGCTGCTTGCATTTAATCTGCTCTGAGATTTACCTCGTAGAATGGGTATTCCACAGCTGACAGAATAGCTGTTGTCTGATTCTGTGAAACGTAAAATGGAAATTGATCACCAGCATTAGAGTTGACTGCACAAGCTTGTTAAATGAAGTAATTTGGGGGGTATTGGTTCGTACCTGATAGGTAATGTGCTTTGGATGCACACGTGAGAGAGCAGCTCTCTTTTTTCCCCATCTTACTGCAAGTAAGGGTGGCTTTGGGGGCCACCAGACTGGATGTACATTTCACGATCTCTGTGCAGAAATGGTAAGTTTGACTCCCAAGCAAGTACACTGAATTATGTTAATATGCATCAAAAGTGATTGGATCTCAAAGAAAATCAACTAATACAAATTTATAATTTATAAAATAAGGAATTAATCTGCAGTATTTGGCATTTACATTTGAACCATAAGATTTTAGTGGCATCTGAATGGCCTCTAGCTGGCACTCTTGTCAACATACCGACACAGTCCTTCCTGTTCCAGTGCAGTTTGTAACCAGGAGCGCAGGTACACTCGTAACTGCCCAGAGTGTTCACGCATCCGAATTTACAGCCACCCCGATTAATGCTGCACTCATCAATATCTATAAAACAAAGCAGACAATTATAAATGATTTATCTTCGCTATAAAAGGACATAAATATGGACATTCAACTGATGAAAATGTACTGTATGGAGAGCAACCTCCACTTCATCCAACAATGCAATTCACTCAACTCAACCTTCCATTTCCATTGTGACAAGTGAATCTAACATGGACTAAAAGCTAAGTTAACAAATTAGACAGGTTAGCATCATCAGTACTTTTAGCTAGTTACTCCCCAACACTGGATCAAAACCAGCAGATGAAAAAATTTAAAAACAGAAAACCAAAGCCAAACAAGAGATAAAATGGAGATAGTATCATTGAATGGATTAAAAACAGAGACAAAGAAAAAGTGTGTTTCAACAAATTAATTTTCTGAAAAGTGGGAGAGCAGGGTTTTTTAATGTTTCTTTAAGGAATACAGAGCTCGCTTGCTAGGCTAGTCTGGTTTTCCTTCTCTTTGTCGTTCTTTTGTTCCCCATCAGATTTGAACCGGCTCCAGGCTAAACCTTTGACTTTCACATTTCCTTTCCCTGTCTGGATCTCGAGCCTTCATTAATCTAAAGAGCGAGGAAGGGGATGGGGGAAGAGAAAACCAATGTTACATTGGCACTTCTGTTAAGCTCTTGTAGATACAGACTTTGGTCAAAGTCCCTTTTATGGCAAGTCAGTCCACTTGATGACACACTCAGGCAGCTGCTTTCAAGTCGTGCAAGTCTAGCTCCAATCTACTTGAATGGAGAAAGACCTAAACCAAAGAGTTTATGTTCTTGGACTGTAAACTCTGCAACAATCAATTCTGACCCAAGGCCTTTTGCAGCTTTAAGGCCCTGATATACTTCAAGCACAACTGAAGAACAAACTGGTGTGACATCATTTTGAACGAAATCAAGTCAAAACGAGGTTTGTTTCAGGAGTTCAAAGCAGTTTGGCGAATGGTAAACGCCATCAAACCACCATTGGTCCATGCTGATGATGTTGTGCTCTGGAAATCTTCTCCGGTTCATTTCTTCTGTTTAGTCCATTGAGGTCAGCCGCAAGTAAACACATGAACACGCTAGAGAGCTGCTTTATAGCAGAAATTGAAGTTGTAAAAGTATACCAATGCAAAGGTATTTCAAACTTCTTTTTATCCCTGAGCAAAGAACAAAAAAGAACTTCGCTCTGAGTATATCAGGGGCTTCAACTTCTATTTCCCGGCAGATAAGCTATCAATGGGAAACCGATGACCATTTTCTGGAAACAAAAGTGGGAACTCCATAAATTTGGGTGTTATCTTAGTGCTAACGGGCATAGAGATACATTCATTATTTCTGGTCCTCTCAACAATAGTTAATCACTAAATGAGTCCTCATCTGCTCAATCAGCCCTGAAACAAGGTTCACTGATGCAGCTTATTCTGGCCGAGAGCCGCCCACTTAGACAGGAAGAAACCATCTGACTGATGTGTCAGACTGGGTTTAGCTGAAATTGATTATATTATTACAAGACTTTCATAAGACTTTCCCGGACATCCAAATGTAACAACTACCCATTATTTCAAAGATATGCCTGAAACATGGGTTACAGCTTGTGCCTTATCCACCATAACATTAGAGCGCAAGCCCATTTGTAACTAATGGGCAAGGCTTCCACTGTCATTCACTTCTAGTTATTTTACCTTTACAAAAACAGTCCGTTATGCTGCTTTATATTGCAAACTATTATCATAATCATAAACACACTAGCTTGTACCATTTACTGTGCTTCTATAGCGGCTAATGAATCGGAAGTCTCGCACATTCAAAAGAAAATAGCTTGGTTGCAAAATAAGGTGGATACAAACCTCAGAATAACCTTTACAGATTTGTTTAGGGTCCCGATTGCTGCCAGAGGAAACTGGAGAGCATTTATATAGGAAAGTCTCAGTTTTTCATTGGATGTGTTTGCCCAAGGTCCTACCAAGAAGAGCTAGTGGGTTTACCAACATGAGTTTTCTATTAGACGTTTCTTTACTGCCGAGGAAATGGACATTGTTCTTGTAACACAGAAACTCCCATAATGCATGGCTTACCTCCACAGTGAGCCACGCCGTAGATGACGTAACCTTTGTGGCAGTAACACTGGAAACTTCCAGGTGAGTTCACACATGTGTGGTCACATGCCCGGTCAAATGAACACTCATCTATATCTGCAGAGACAGGAAACACAAACACTTTTATTCATATGAGAACTATTGAATTTCACACTATAGTGTGGAAAACCAGTACACTGTAAAAAATGACCGTGAATTTAATGACTGTAAAAATACTACAGTAAAAACCTGTTAAATGGTTAATGGTAAATTCCCCTACTATATACGGTGAAAAACTGTATTTGACATTACATGTATTGGACATTAATTTTACGGTATTATAGACCGTATAATTTACAGTGAATAACTGTAAATTGACATTCCCAGAATTCCCTGCGTTACATTTAAAATTTTATGTTTTTTTGTTGAAATAACTGTTTCTTCTTAGTTTTTTCTTATCAGTTTTGTATATTAGGGTTGTGTGTTACACCTAATGTTGTTAAATGAATGTTTATTGCATTATTTCAGTTTCATGTGTGTTACCATGATGGTGTTTGTGTGAATGACACTGTGCACCTTCTATATATGTTATTATTTAAAAGCTGCTTGTGATGGGCTATGGTTCATCATGTGACATTCTCATCACCACCTGCATTTGGTGGTTATCAGTGTATTACAAAGGTGCAAAACAGATTTCAGTACTTCAATAGGTTGGTATATTAACATTATATCAGTTAATGAAATTACGGTATTTAACTGTAAATTTAAGTTAAAACCTAAACCGTTGCTACCGTATTTTTTACTGTAAAATTCCGGCAACCACAGCTGCCATTTCTTTACCATAAATTTTACGGATTTTTTTTTACAGTGTAGCCACGAAGAACAGTACCATGTGGCGCTTCATCTGACGTCAATCATTTCAGTGGAATCCCCAATTAGGTCTTAATAAACCTTCTGCTGTTCATTAACACACATTACCTGGCTAGAGTCGAGGTATTTAAACCCCTCATCCTTATTTCCTCAAGACATCTGGAAATGATTTAGCCTTAAACGCTGCCCCGTCTGCCGTATTATGAAATGTGTCGTAACTTAAGACCGTTTCGGGTCGGTCTCTGGATTCTGTTGACTGCCACCTCACTCATTACTGCAGAAGTTCCCTGTACACCTCATCTCTGTCTGAGTGAATCTCATGGGAACAACAATGACCTCAAATTTTTTCACCACATTTTCAAATTTTTGTTTTGTGTTTTTGACAACACTGATTCTCATCGCTGTTGACAAGTACTTTTTTGTTTGCTTTTTACAGTTTGTATGTGAATGAGCTTATTAACAAGCTTTTAGCCTTTTGGTAGATCAGTTCAGGCCACTTCGTCCTTAGGTTACCTCCAAGTGTGGCATCAAGAAGCAGCTTCATCAGTCAGGCCTTGAGAAAGCACAGCTCCATAAATGAAGGTTACACAATCAATACATGCCCCAGAAACACTTATTTAATCTAACAAATCGCCCTGCTGATGTCTGCACTGTTTCTTGCCTTTGGTGAACATCAGTTCTGGGATTGGATGTGAGTGCAGTGGGGGAGATATCACTCAACGCCTCAGCAGGAGAATAACACTGAAGGACTTTATAGACTCCAGAGACAACAATGAATAACCCAACATATATCCTCTAATACACATGAGACTCAACATTGCCTGGATTTAGTGTAAAAAGCCAGATTTCATTTATTTTCCAAATGTAACTGAAGGCAAAACAACCAGCAGACTGCAAAAATTATGTTCTATCTCAGTATTTTTGTCTTGTTTTCCAGTACAAATATCTGAACATTTATAACCCTCTGGTGCTGTTTGGTCATTTTTGATAAAAAAATGTAATTTAATTTTTTTTTTTTTTTTTATTCATTTTGTATTTGGATTTTTTCAGCCTTCAATGGATTATGAGAAAAGTTCTAGTATCAGTTGTTACACACACACAAAGTAAAATACTTGGACTTGATTCAAGCTGCCAATTTACCAGAGTTTAATAAAGGACAAATTGTGATGGCATGGCACCTCGAAACTTCGATCTTGGAAACGGCACACCTTGTAGGTTATTCATGTGCTGCTGTAGTGAGTATGTATCAAAAGTGGTGCACGAATAGCCAAACGACGAACCGTCATCCAGCCATTGTTCACAGCGACTGTTGGGCCACAGTGCGACAAATCACCAGCAGCTACAACAGCAGGGCAATGTGTCACAGCACACAGTTCATCTCAGCCCTCTGCGTAGCCGACCATCCCCATGCTAACTGCACGCAATCACCAACAACTCATGAAATGGGGCCCAAGTTTATTGAGACTGGACTGTGGATGATTGGAAGAAAGTGGCCTGGTGTGACGAATCAAGATTCCTGGTGCATCACGTTAATGGCTGAGCGCAGATATGCTGATTACCAACAGAGGCTATGGCGCCTGGATGCATTGTGAGGCAAACACAGGTGGTGTTATTTTTTGTGGGCGATGTTTTCTTGGGACACTTTAGGCCCTATTATCCCAACAACACAATCCCTGACAGCTGTCAGGTATCTGAACGTTGCAGACCAGGTGGACCGATTCGCGGCAACTGTGTTCTTTGCCGGTGATAGCCATTACCAGCAGGATAATGCTGCCAGAATCGTCAAGGAGAGGTTCGAGGAACATGATAGTGAATTTCTGTTAATGCCTTGGCCTCCAAATTCACCTGACATGAACCCAATCAAGAAGTGGGTTCACGCTATCACCACATCCCCACAATTTACAGGAACTGGAGGACCTGCTATTGACATTATGGTACCAGATAACCCAGGAGACCTACTGACACCTCGTTAAATCAATGCCTTGCAGCATGGATGCGGTTTTGCTGGCTAAATGTCACCCTGGACCATAAAACCAGTCATAAGGGTCAAGATTTATACATCATCCAAAAGCTGAATAAATAAGCTTTCCATTGATGTATGGTTTGTTAGGATTGGACAGTATTTGGCTATTTGAAAATCTGGAATCTGAGGGTGCAAAAAAATCTAAATATTGAGAAAATTGCCTTTGTTGTTGTCTAAATGAAGTTCTTAGCATTGCATATTAGTAATCAAAAAATAAGTTTTGATATATTTACAGTAGGAAATTTACAAAATATCTTCATGGAACATGGTCTTTAATTAATATCCTAATGATTTTTGGCATAAAAGAAAAATCGATCATTTTGACCCATACAATGCACTGTTGGCTATTGTAGCAATATACAAATATATACAAATATATCCGATATACAAATATATCCGTGCGACTTATGACTGGTTTTGTGCTCCAGGGTCACAAATGAGGTCTTACAGGTTATTAGATATATTAGGTGGTCATAATGCAGTAGCTCATCAGTGTAAATGGGAAGTGAATTTCATCAGGTGGAAATGTTTGCTACTGCGCCCAAAACAAAACCTTACTGAAAGCTCAATATTTGCAATATCAACCTCAAATTTATGGAACAAAATTCCGGACAATTTTCAAATAGAATAGCAAATTGTATTTTCAATTGCGTTTTCAATATGTGGACGCATAAATTGTGACATAATCCAAATGCAATTGCAAATCCTGCAGCACCGTTTGCATTTTCGCTTTCGCGAACGCACAGTGACTGCCACATTTCAAATGAAAAAGCAAAGTCCATTTGCAACTGTATTTCCCATGTCTTAGGAGTTATGAGCCTGTCATATTTAAATAGTAATATTAATTACCAGTCTGCTTTTTCACTCTCGCTGCGTCGCACATGTAACCTGCCAAAACTCAAATGGAATCGCAATTCCTTTTGCATTTGAATTTCCGATGTCTACATGGAAAGCTGCCAATCATTGTCAGGGGCGGGACTATACTATGGGGCGTGTTTGTATTGGGATGTGACGTCACTCACAGACGACCGTGCCGAATGCTCTGATCAATGGAGGTAATTGGTAAAGGCTCCGCTAAACTTCTATATATATATTTTTTTAATCTGCCAAGTATCTTCTTTAAAAAGAGACCAAACTTAAGTCTCTGCTCCAAAGCATTCAAGATTTGACAGTTTTAGCTGGAAATGTTATTTTCAGTTTCAGCACATAAAATAGAGTACTGAATAAAATTTTATTTGTCAACTACCCAATTATAATCTTACCTCAGATTTAAAACAACAGGTTTTAAATATAAAAAAGTATTTTTTGAAGGTCAGGCTGTGCTGCTGAGATGCCATGAAGTGTATTTTTAGAGTGTTTGGGTGTTAGTATGCGGGTCTGACAGCAGGTGTGTGTACGTGCAGCGCTGCATTCTCTCATTCTTTCATCGCGCATTTCAGTTCTCTGTGCTAAGTGGGTACCGTGAAAAAACAAAAAACAAAACCTTGGAATAGTAACAGAAAGGGCAGCATTCAAGGGGGTTATTTATATTAGAAACATTAACAAGATTTTCTAAGGAATAAGTGAGTGGTGCTTGTCCATGCAATCCATTGCCATGATGCCAAGAGATTGCAAGGGTGTTGCTATGCAGTTGCTAGGGTGAAGTCATATTTATTTAAACAGCACTTTATGCAATACATATTGTTTCAAAGCAGCTTTACAGTAATTTAGTTCATCAGTGTCAATCCAAAGGTCATTAATTATTAAACAAACTCAATTCAACTATAAAGCAGCTCTACAGAATGCAATAGTGTTGTTCTTCAGCTCAGTTCAATGTTGATTCAGTTCAGTTTAATAACATTTTATTGTTGCGGAGTTCAACAATTATGAAACAAATTTGATCTAAAATTTAAAGCTCTACAGACGACAATAGTTTTATCATCCAGCTCAATTCAGTTCAAGTTTTGTTTTCATACGATAGTGTCAGTGCCGTCAAATCAATAATATTATTCAATGTTAAGTATCTTAGTGTGTATGTGACACTTTGTGCATTAATAAATTTTTAGCTTCAAATTATTGATGAAAGTTCTAAGACTCATGATTTGGTATTTGCACTGCAAAAAATCTAATCTGTTTTATCTGGTTTTCCAGTAAAAATATCGAAACATTCTTAAATCACGAAACAATTACTTGAGAGGCAAAATTACTTATTAATAATTACTCAACTATTCTTCTATTTTTAGGG